AGTCCATTTACTCCCTGGTTGTCGTTCATGGTATGGTCCGTATTGACCTCCACTTCTAACAGTTCTCTTCGCTCTTCTGAGGTCTTTTGACTTCTCGTTTCAACCATTCTGCCTGAAACCGTCCCCTCTTTATCGGACCGGGTTCGCTTGATCCAATCCACAAAAGGATCGGTCATCGTTTTTCTTTGCTTTTCAGGTATGAATTTCCTAGAGCTATTACCTCGTTTTGGTATCCTTGACTTGTCTAAACTCATTCTTTATTTGTCACTTTCCTATGCCTACTCTTGACTCAATTGCTAGAGACCTTATAGTTTTATTAACAATAATAATGACACAACACAATAAATTTCACCAGATTCTATTAAATAGTGACCACGAATCCCTGTATGTTGTAAGAGTACAGTTTGTATAAAATTTATTCACACTGACCGATTATCGGTCCAGAGATCTGGAAACTAGCACAATATGACGTTATCAGTCAATTTTAAAAGATAGTGTACTCACTACCCAATCAAGCACAGTTTAGGTTGATTTAAAATCAAAAAAAAAAAAACAAAAAAAATATATATTGACACAATATGAATGTATATATAAAAAAAACGTATGTGTCTTGTACTCTTAGTCGGTCGCAGTACAATAGTCGAACCTGTCTTTTAAAGAAAAAGCTTTCCCTGCTTGGTGCTGCACCAAACAGACAAAACTTTGAAGGCAGTAATTTTCTCAAGTGGGCGTCTATTGCACCCACCGAGTACTGTGATACCTATCTGCCTTCGGACTGCCCGAGCTAGACCTACTAAAATCCTCAGGGCAGTCACTTTTCCCAAAAACGTATTATGTTTCAATCCACACCAATGAGTCACGCTCTTTTTAATTTAGACTTAGTGTCGCGAATATCCGAGTTCGGACCTGTTTTGTATTAGTCTGGTTCTTTTTGAGAGGCATGTTACCAGTGCAGTCACTGATACCTAGCCTGTGTATTAATAACCTAATACCTCTCGCTCTTTAGTCTTTCTTTCGTTTACCTAAGTCCTTAATAAAATAATACCCCTCCGGATTGGCACAAATAGGACCCTTCCGGACTGTCAGAATATGGACCCCTCCGGATTTGGACCCCTCCGAATTAGCAACTATAAGACCCTTCCGGATTCGGACCCCTCCGGTTTTGTGGAAAGTAGACCCCTCCGGATTCGGACCCCTCTGACTTTGAAAAATTTCGACCCCTCCGGATTGGGAGCCCTTAGCTCTGTCAAAGTAGCTTTCCGTAGTTTTCTTAATTTCAGCTTATACCCCTCCGGATACGTTCTGCGTTGCTTTTATGCTGTTTGAATTAACTGGGAAGGGTATAGGGTCCTTTCCTAGACCCCTCCGGATTGAAGTTAAGGCACTTATTTGACAATTCACACTAACGGTGAAGGGTCTTATCACTTGCCTAACTTCGACTCTATTATGGTTGTCTTGTGCCTTCAGCCTTCCCTTTTTGTCTAGAACTGTCCTAAGTTACTTAGTTCAATCGCTATCAACTTTTGGTAGGGGTATAAGGGTTTTTCAGAAAAATTTATAAAACGTGAAGGGTGTACCCCTCCGGATTTGTGTAATTTGCTAAAAACAATCTCAAAAAATTTTCTCGCTCGCTTTTCCGAAAAATTTCTGATCCTATTAGTAAGCTCAGCTAATTTCTGATCTATTGGTACCAAGATCAACTCGATATGATCAGTTGTTCCAAAGTTATTAACCAAAACGTCTTTTTTCCGAACTCAAAAAATTTTCTCTCTTATAGGTTCCGCCTAACTTTTTCCGCAAATCTGGTCCTTTCGACCTAAAAATTATTGATCCGAGCTCAGAAGGCCTATACTCTTCTAGTTCAATGCAAAAGACCCAATCTAAAACGCTATTGTAGAAAAATTTTGCGAAAAACTATGCTACCTGGACCCCTCCGGATTGATGAATCCACCAAATCAAACACGTTATGTTCGATTTCTCTGCAACCCGGAAGGCTTTCGGGTAGCGGATTTTAAGACTTGTAGATTCACTAGTGGACGTTGTCCGAACAACTATTTTTACTGTCCTACCTCAAAAAGTTCAAAAAATTTTCTAAATTTTTAGTGTTTCTTACTATCAAAAATTGGGAAAATTTGGTTTTTGGTACCAAACTAGTTCCAACCACTTCCGAACTAAAGTTAACCGGTTCTACTTATTACAGTAGTGCAGTTACGATGTAACACACTAACTTAGCGCTTTTTTCCGTTTCAAAAAATATCGATATCTCAAAAATCGCGACTTGTGGGGGGATCAAAATATCGCTATTTTGACCCTAAAAACCGGTCTGTTTTCGTTGTTTTTCACTGAAAAACGATATGTGACTATTAATATAGGCTATATGAATAATAATATTAGTAATACTATACCCCTCCGGGTTTGTTTATTATCCGAATTAAGGTGCTTAACTCGGATATTCGCAGTTCGGTGAAGGGTCACTACAGTGCAGCACTGTCGAGCCCCCCACAGATTACTATCTTACTCTTTGTACCAAAAGGGATACAAAACTTGTTAACGATACCCAACAGTCGATTGTTGTTGTCGTTGAGCCCCTTCTTGTTGCTCCTTGAACTGCTTGCCGGATCGGTCTTCACCCTTCCGAATTGAGCGCAAATCAGCTGACCCTTCCGGACTGAGCGCAATTTATCATTAACGTGCTTAAATGCTCAAATAACCCTACAGTACAAGCCTCACAAACGGGCTACAAAATTGATCGTAACGATCCTGACTGATATAAATGCCTGTAACAACAATATATCTATCAACAACAAACGGGGGGTTTGAGTCACATCTTGTCTGGGGGGATGATTTCTTCTGATTTTTTACTTTTTTACTGTTTTTGGTTTTTTCGGTTATTTTTTATGTTTTTTGTTTTTCTTGGGTACTATACTACTTTTTGTTTGGTTTTGCTGATATCTTTAAGTGTTTTTGGTCACAAACCACTCAGGGGATGAGGGGTTCATGATTCCCCCCACCCTTCATGGTTCGTGAATTTTCGGTCTTAACTAGGTTAAAAAACTATTCACGGTAATCCGGAAGGCTTCCGCGTTCCGAACTACCCTTCCGCCCCGGCAGTTTAGGCCTATTAAGGGCGTTAATGTGAGCATCCGCTCGGCGCGGAGTGCTCGTTAACGGTTCCGCCGGTCATGATGTTATGAAAGAATAACACCCAGGAGCGCCATAAAAACATACATGTAACATTCGCCCGGAAGATACATATCGACGGATAACAAAACTAAGTCTTAAGACGACTGGCTAGCGTCTAAACAGAGCTTTGCATGTTTTTCACCGTCTCTACCAAGCCAGTACTTTTCGGTGGTCTTTCTTACATCAGGCTGACAAAAACGTTACTGTTCTCCGGCTTCGACCAGAACGCTCAAATTAACTGAATTACATGCGAAATTAGTGAGCTCATGGCTGGGTCTCTGTATCCCCAGACCACGAGGTCACTCCTAAAAACAGGGCTACTACTTATCATATTACTATTGTTTTTGTTCAGTAAATAAAAATCATCATCTCCATCGAAGATGGATCAACCCTTTCCCCCAACTCCTAGCACCTCATCCTTGTCAAAACTAATCAAAATATCAGTTAAATTCAAGTCAGGACATGACAGGATGCTAAAAGTTTATGTGAGTTAATAAAAGTTTCCGTCCCGAGACCCTTCCGGATTCTTGAATCCGCTGAATCAAGCCCCTTACTCTTGATTTCTTGCTAATCCGGAAGGCTGGTTCTCACCCTTCACCTTTGTTGGCAACGGCCTTGCAACTATTGTAGCAGCACAATAGTTGCAACTCGGAGCGTTCTCTGCTATTCTGTAGTTCGTTGTCGTTTTCCAATCTCGATTTTCGTACTGTTCGCAATCGCAGATAAGAGTTGTTCTGTTTTTTACTCGCTTTTTTGTTAAAATGGCCGTTTCAGCATTTCTCAGAAATGTGACGTCATCATTCGAATTTTTGAAAATTTAAAATACTAGAATATTCTAGCCCTCACCGTTTGGCTAAACGTTCCAATAACGTCGCTAATCCTTCGAAATCATCAACTCGGAAGGCTCAAAATTCGAATCCTGCATAAATTGCATTTTGGCCATTCTGGTCGAATGTCACATATATGTACTAATACAAATACGTGGCGTGATTACCGTTTTTGCTAGTTCTATATTTTTTAATTCAGTTTAATTTTTCACACATTGCTTGAAAGAGAAACTGTATATACTCTCTATATACGTTGTATAATTGGACTATCTGTAAAATTGTTTGTAAAGTTTTATTACCAGCTTGTTCCTAATTCTTAAATCTTTATTTTTCTATAGTATCCGAAACTTCATATACTTTAATCAACCAATTTCCGAACTGTAACCGATTTTGTTTTTTGTTTGTTTTGTTTATTGCTTGTTTTCTGATGTTTTGTTTTTGTTTGATGTAACCAATGAATTTATAACCAATTTTATTATTTACACTTTGCTACACTGATGCCTCGGCTCTTTATTGTATAGTAATTCAAGTGTTCTTTCTTCTTTTTCTTCTTCTATCACCACTAATCATTTCCTTTTTATCATTATCATTTCCTTATCTAGAAAATTCCGAAGATTTTGGCTCGATAATGTGATGAAGGGACTCCTGACAGTTACCTCGGTTACTATGATACTTTAGACCTTCTGATTACCTTAAAAAATGAAGAATAAAAGGGAAAAAAAGACATAGTTCCGAAAATGTTCGAATTCACATTTTATTATTTTTTGCTTTGATGATAGCCTTGAAGCTGTGACGAGTTTAAAGTTGACGTGGAAACGAACCACGAATTTTCTTCGACAGTTTGATGTTTAAAAGTACGAGAATGGCCATAGAGCTTATCCTGCTTGACCTCGCATGTGATTTCAACGAACGAAAGTTAACCTGTTACTTCAAAGCTTCTGATAATAAACAAGAAAGAGCGCTATAATGCCAGATATATTTTTGTTTCAGATTTATAATTCGCTGTTGTCAAAAAAAAATTTTTGTAGTTGTCGAAATGAACGAAAATTTTTTCCTCAAGTAAGCAATTAAATAAAGATTTTGTTCTCACTGTTCAAATTGTGAAAGATTTTAAGAAGAACTTTGTTTTTAGACGAACGGCGTGTTTAGTGGAGAAGTTAGACTGCGAAAATGGACTGGATTCGAATGTTAAACAGTTTTGCGAAAGCGTAGCCCAGAAGGTCAATCAAAAGAATAAATGGCAAGTTCCTCAATTTGATTTCCATGAAAGAAACATAAATAACAGTTATTTTCGAGGATAGTAAATGTCGAAAGTTATTGTTAAATAAATATCTTGTTCAAATTTAAACATCTTAGCGGGTAATTAAGTTGCTTCGAAAGTGATGACTAGAAAAGTGTGATTGTTTAAGGTCCTTGAGTAGCGCGGAAAATTCAGAGAGCATTAAAGTTAGTATAATTCTTGTCTGGCCAAATTGTAACTCGAATGTTTTTTTTTGTCATCTTTCCTTTTTTAAATAGATACCTCAAGACGATTTGGATGCATTGCTTGCTGACCTTGCAGAGCTGTTAAATGATGATACTTTTGGTATGTTGTTTCAAGTTTTAATGAACGAAATTCATTTTTACAAAAGTCGGGTGTATTCTATTTTTCGTTAACAGAATTATTTTTGCAGAGAAATTTTTTGTTTTTAGCTTGATAAAGGAGCTGATGTAAAAGAGTAGAAAATTTACAAAAGTCGTGTGTTTTCTATTTTTCTCTGACAGAATTTTTTGCTCTCAGAAGTTTCGTGTTTTCAGCATGATAAAGGAGCTGAAGTAAAAGAGTCTGAACAAGGGATGAAAGGGCCTTAATTTTGATATCACTTTCGGTTTCGTACAAAATTTGATATACGATTCACTATTTCTTTAAATTCAAGTAGAATGGCTTGCTATGATAGCAGTACTGAACGTTCTGAGGAGTGAAGACTGTTTGTGAACATGGTTTGCAAAAAGTATGAAATATTATTGAAGACGAAATGGTACATTTTTATTCATGACAATAACCACACACACTGGTCAAACGTTACTTTGCATAAAATCGATTCTGAATTTAATATGAATAATAAAAAATTTAGAACTCTTCTTCTAGAGACAAGTTTTTTCCGACATTTTTCTTTTTGGAGTTTAAATTACGGCTTATCGGACTGGCTGTTTGGGATTTTGCTTTAATATTCGGGTTTTTAAACGAAATTCTCCAAGTTTGTGTTATTCCCTTTTCTCAAATATTTAAGCTCGTTTATGAGTTTGTTTCAAAATCGGAACTCAATTTACGGTAGTCGATGTCAAAATTAAAAATAAAGCCAAAAACTAGCTTCTTTTCAATTTTCAAACTTAAATTGGATATAGTGTTCAGTATTCCTCGTGGATTTGAAATAGTATCAACCAAATCTGAAGAAGAGATTTTATTTCACTATGCTTTTGAATGATACTCTTGAGTTTTCCAAAAATGTAGTCTTTTTCAGACGTTCACGAATCCCTTGGCTGTCAAAAGAAAGACATCTCCAAACCGAACCTGCCTTCAAAGGATATCGGACGTTCTGGTCAGTAGAAGATCTATTTCTATTTAGACCGACAGAAAAACAGAACATGTACATATCGTGGTTAACATCCATTGCTGTGAAGACTCATATTTAAGTCATGAGCTTGTATTAAGAAAAAAGTAAAAAAAAAATCGACGATACTTGAGTTTGAGTTTTCGCGGACTGGCTTTGTGTAAATTTAAAATACATTTGAAAGAAAGAATTTATTTCTCCATAAATGGGAATATATTCACATTAGCGAGCTTGCGAGCGTAAGTTTTTTAGTACGAACCTTTTTTTTCTAACCTAACCCGCAAATAAAAGTGTTCATTGAAAGAGGAAAGTGTTCACTTTTTTGGCTGCGTTTTTGCTATAATTACGATCTAGCATTGAAAATTTCATAGCACATGTTCTCTGCTTTATGTGTAGCCAGTGATAATTAAGCGTCCGTTAGTGCGTGAGACTCATAATTATCTAGGTTGCAGTAGGTCATAGGTTCGAATCTTAGACATAGCCGAATTTTTTTTAAATTCGAGGCTAATTTCTACCTTTGGCACTTTATGGAGATGCTTTTTGTCGTGTTCTCGCTAGTGTTTGCGAAGCGCTGCTTTGCCTGTATTTAATTTGTAACATCAATATATACACACATGCACAAAGTGGAGAAGGTAGATAACGGGCAAGCATGTCTAATGACAATCTACCCATGGTTGGTGTAGAAACTTTGAATAAAATTTATTAATAAAAGGGGAATAATAAATAATATAATTTTTCTTTTGTGATCTGTCTTAACGTCTTCTACTTTGCAAAACTATGAGCTATCTATACTTCTTCAAGTACAGCTGAAAAAACTGTAAACAGTTTAAATATATCATTTATTATTAAAAATTCAAGACAGAATAATATTTCTTTGCAATTCTACGTCAATGTTTTTTCGCAAGTGTTGCGAAGCCCTGAATGGCCTCAGCGTCAAAAATTTTCTACCTAAGTTATATCAATTTTAACTCTGTATGAATTCAGTTGTTTCAGGTGCAGCCAAGAGGAAGCCTCGAAGGCATCAAGCGTGGATGGAAAGAGATGACGAGGAGAGGCAAAATTTTCTTTCAGAAAAACATCAATGGAGTCCATTGAAAGTAACTACAGATCCAAGTGAATGTAAGTTGATGAAAATGGGTTGCGAGTTTTTGGAATCTAGATAATTTGTGTGGGTATATTTTTGTTTTCTCGTATTAACCTTGCGAAAGGCAACTTGCCCATATAAATATTTGCTCAATTAATACTCGTGAGTATAACGTTTGTCATCTGGGTTTGCTGCTCTTCAGGGTTTCAGCCAAAAGAGGGTTACACATCGCTCAAAAATGCGTATCCGAACTTGTTCGAGGGAGAAGAGGATAAAGAAGATAAACTACCCAGACGCAAAGGAAGGAAATCGCGAACTGGCAGACCCAGGAAATGTAATCAAATTCCACGGAAGCAAGCCCCACTTGCAGACCCATTGTTAGAACCAACTGCATCTGATAATGGGAAAGCCAGTGGAAACCAGTCGGTGCTTCACCTAAATGCGTCTAAATTGAATTTTCCAAGTCGAGAGAAATCGGTACAGGCGGCAATACACACACTACAGAATACAGGGTATGGTTTAACAGGGGTTGATGAACAGTTTATATCGCCTGACGAGACACTGACAGTTGACATCGAACAGAAACGTGTGTTGTATGCTTTAGTCTCATTTAAAATACATCCGAAAAGAAAAATTCAAGTTGTGAGGCCCCCAAATGATGATTCAGATGGCTACTTTTATCAGCCAATTTTGCCGAAAAATCTAGAACACATTTGGCTTGAGCTGCTAGGGGTTCAGCTCATACCGAGCACAAAAGTACACGCGGTACCAAGAGAGAAAAACGTGCGAAGTGTTGCGATAGGAACTGATAAAACGAACGTTATTGGCCCAAATTCAAAACTCAATTCAATCACAAAGAAGTTCGTTCCTGTTTTGAGAAAGAGTCAAAGCATCCATCAAATCGAAAGAAAATTTGAAGCCAATTGAGAGCAAGATTTGTATGCCAGGAAAACAAGACATTCCAAAGAACTTGTCTGTTTACGATGAAAGAGGAATCAAACATGACGGGCAGAAGAGGTTTGTTCGGACAAGAACACCATCTAAAATTGAAGAACCAACCAGATGTTCCGAATGGAAATCGAGCTCAGAATTAATATTAAATGATAGAAGAAACCAGCAATCGATAGACACTGAATCTGACGTGTCAGAATCAGAACTGAACATCTGTGAAGAAAGTGATTGGAAAAATTCGAAGCTCAACCGTTCCTTCAGAGAAGTCACAGAGGAGAGAAAAATCTTTGGTTACAAGTACTCGAAAGATATCTCAAACAAAGTCGAGAAGAATTACAATCTGTACTACCAGAAACTGCGGCCAGAGAATAGCCTGAAACCGAACGAAACACACCCTGGAAGGCCCAAGAAAGAAGAGATGGTAGATTTTGAGATTAGAGTATACCCCGATTTGCAGATGAATGCACCCTATGACAGTTCCCAGAGGAGCTACAGGGAAAACAGGAGTAAGAAGGTCCACAAGAGGGTTATAGTTTGTCCATCTAATTGTCTGTGCTGGCAAGATGAAAAGAAATCAAGTGACAGAGAGGTCAACTCTCCTGAGATATGTAAACGCAGAATTGATACTCACCAAATGACTTCTGAGGGTTTGTTTGGCGAGAGTGAAGAACAGATTATCGGAGATGAGAACAACGAAGTTGAATCTGAATCGGAACAAGGCACCGACTATGCAATTGCTCCTCCGAGTCCAGAAATTGGAAACAGAGTTCCAACTGTAGAAGAAATGACACTCAGTCCAGCCTCATGTATTGGAGTTGGAGCTCGTTCGGGAAAAATATCACAAAAAATTCGCTCTGAGGGTAAGGAAACATTACAACTCATGAAAAAAATTGGGTTCAACTACTTATAGAAAAATCATTATTAGTTTTATCCATTTACAGGATTATATTTCAAATGAGGCTCGGGTAGAAAACAGAAATTTCATTTAAAACAAAATTTATTAAGAGTCATGAGGTTAGTGAATACTCGTATGTAGGTCTTGGTAATTTCCTAATTTTAGGTCTTAAAATTGCTTACGCTCAAATTTCATTTTTCGCGGTTTGATTTCTTTTCACGTTCAGGCACACTCCACTTTCGAACAGCAAAAGTGAAAATGTCACGAAAACTTCTAGTTTTGATGGTCGATTTTGTAGATTTCCCAGTGGAATGAAAATTAACTTATTGATACAGTTTTCTCAAATTGAGTTAATTTTATTATACTTGTGAGAGTAAGTGGCTTGTAACCGGGAACTAGACGTTTTTTTGTCGTAAGCACTTTTTACAAATCCTATTTGTTGCTTTACGTGCTTTATGATTGAGTCTTGACAACTTCCTAAAGGTAACGCCCCAAGGTCAAGGGTTCGAGTACCGGTTGGACTTTTTTTCCTTATGTATGCAATTGAAACTTTGTTGGGAATTGTCGTACTTTATTTGTCTGCTCAAGTTTTGTCGGTCTGGTTGCAACATCATGGGTGTTTTTTTGTGCTGCAAGCATTTTCTTTGTATTTGCAAGTGCAAGTGTTTTTCTTGGTAGTTTTAAGAGGGACTTAAGGTTTTAAAACTTTTCGGCTCAACTTGTGTCTGCTCAAGGATTGTGGGTGTTGTTTGCTCTGCCAAAGATTTGTTCAGTTGATGATTTAATTTTGAAATGCTTGGCTGATTTGCCTAGAATGGATTCCTTGCGAGACAAACTAAAATTTAATTTTTGGTTGACCTTATTTTTAAACTACCTTTTTCCGTTATATTGAGTTTTTTCTATGATCAAGATCTGCTGCATTGGAAATTTCATAGCAGCTGTTCTCTGCTTTGTTTTCGGCGTGTGGTAACTGAGCGTTAAGCATCTCTCAGTGAGAGGGAAGGATGCGAAACTCCAAATCTTGGGGTCTCTGGTTCAAGTAGGACCTAAAGCAAAGTTTATACTTTTTGGACTTTCTACTTTTTCTTGTTTCACATTATGGGGATACTTGTTCTCGCTTTTGTTTTCGAAAAGCAGCTTCGCCTCTGTGTATGAACTTGTTTTCCATATATTTTAAAATCAAATTAATATTTGCGTTATTTAGAACTACATAAAAAGGATAACAATGGTTGGGCCAACAATATAGACGATGATCAAATGAAGAAGTTGAAGACAAAAAATAGACGAAGAGAAGGACGGCTGAGTAATCTGCTGAATATGCTGGATTCAGATTCAGACTACGAAGAAACACACAAAGACGTCAAAGAAGATGATTCAGAGATCGAAAATGACTCATCAGATAGTGACGTCATTATCATTAAGTCATCAGTGAAAGCAGTAGACATCAGCAGAGACTCCAAAGGTTACCTAAGCTCAAGTTCAGAGGACGGTGAGTTCCAGACCGGTATGTGCCAGATGAAAGTTAGGTCGCCAAGTAAAATTTTTACCGAATCACATCTGCAGATTGCCGATCTTGGTAGCAAAATAGATGTTAAAACTGGCCAAACTGATTGCCGTAAGTTTGCGAGCTGCAAAAAATATCTCAAACATTTTGTTAATTTGATTCCTGGAAAGGAGTCGAATGGAGGCGAAACAAACTATGAAGATGATTCAAAGTATGAAGCGAAGATTGACTGTGGGTCTGGTGATTGTGTTAACTTATCGGGCAATCGGTCGGAATTTACTCTAAAAGCATTACAATCTGAAGATGAAACAAGTACGAACGAGATCAAGTCTCTGGAATTCGGCAGTCAGGTTTCAATCCAAAAATACGAAAAGTCGAAGAGTTCAAATGCTTCAAACTGCAGTGATGAATTAATTGAGTCTCAGAGCGAACATTTGAAAACTGTGAACTCTTTGACTCTGCTATCTATCTACGAATCCGACGACGATTCCAATTCAGAAATACATTCAAGTTCTGAAAAAGATTCAAACAATAACCACAAATCTCAAACCACGACGGTGGGCTCCAGCTCAGACAGCAGTAGCGAAAAGAGTTTATTGCCATTAATCGAACGCTCCAAAGAGTCTATCAGTAGTTTAAATCCAGTTCGTAGAAGGGGACAAAAAGATGAATTGCGTGTTCTGAGAAACAACGTCAGCATTTGCAACACAAACTCATTGAATACAGAGGAATTAAAATCGAATGACGTTACAAATAGCTCTGACAGCAGATTAACTAAATTGAAAAGTACCGAAACATCGTTGAAAAGAGGGAGAAGAAAGATGGTTAAATCACACGCAAAAGAAAATTTCGATGATTTAATTGACCAGAAAGTTGCGTGTGAAAGAAAACTAAAGCGAAGACGCAGATTAAACGGATCGCTAACAAACTCTGATTCAGAACTCAAAAAACGGAAATTGTGACAGTTTTTCATTGTTTTAGTTGTTCTTGGATAATGCCGCATATGGATTCCAATTTAAAAAAAAAACTGAAAAAACTGCCCATTTTTGCTGAAATTTATGTAGTTACAAAGGTCCTTTTAAGGGCCAGTATATTGTATTTGATGTTTTGATTATGAATTTGAATCAATTTTCTCTGTTTTCTGACGTCAACAAGTCTTTTGAGTAGGAGACTAATCGGAAAATTCGAAGGAATTTCAACTGTTTTCAGTGGTTCAACTGCCCCCCCCCCCCCCCCACATGGATTCGTTCGGCACCCTCACAAACCAAAGGGTCCCCTCATTGGTATTATTTCATATCATCCATTTTTGGCCGCCCAACCCAAAAATTTTTCTTTGGCGCCAATATATGCTAACTTTGAAAAAATCGGGCCACGAAAAAACGAGTTTTTGGTCAAAAGTTTTCAAAAATGCCCAAAAAAAATTTTTTATCGAAAACTCATTTTGAGGGCAGAAAACTCCGCAGTAAAAAAAATTATGGATTTTGCGACAGTGCGTCTGTGCTTAAGTATTAGGCTGCGGATTCGACCTCAACAAGAGTCAAAGGAAAGAACGCTCTGTTCTGGATTTCACAACAAATCCTTCCTTTCTGCTTAATGCTTTTAGTTTCCTTCGACAAAATTGCTTTGGCGCTCTTTTGCCTATTTGAATTTGTGTTTTTGACACAATGATTTCAAGTTACGCATTATATGTTTTGTAACCAAATTTAAATACCGGCTTGCTTGAACCCCATATATATTAGCAAGCGTTAACAAACCGAATTATGAACTTTTTTTCGGGCTAACATCTATTTCAACAGAATCACTTGAAATTACCTTTGGTTTATATGAAATCAAAAGTCAGATGCTAATTCGAGCAGGTGACAACGAGCTAACGCACTTGCTTAAAAAGACAAAAGTCAATAGATCGAATCCGGTCTTTTTGTCGGCTTAGTTGCCGCAGCGTCAAATCTATCTAAAATTTGGATTTTTTTAACTCGAATTAAAAATATTTCAGTGTATACCGGTTTTGGGCAACCTGTTTTTTTTTGCTATTTTTTGAATTTTTTTGCTGCTTGAAAATTGTTTGGAAATTCAAGGAGTGCTCAAGGTATTTGATGCAGTGGTTACACCCATGCTTGAGACGACAAAACTCTTAAAAGTTCGATTTCAGTCGGGACATGTTTTTTTGTGGAAACCGAAAACTGTCAAAAATTGTCGTGTCTGCTAATTTTTGTCGGCTTAGGTCCCGAAGAAAGTTTCGGTTTTTTGCATTTTGAAAGTTTTTTGTAAAATTTCTAATGGCGAAGATATGTTTGTTCCTGGAATTTTTGGTCTTTTATTGCAATTATTATAAAAAAATTTTCGATTTTTTTTAGTATTTGATTTGTCATTTCAATTGCTGGTAAAGATAGTCATTCATTTTTGCATCGCAAAGGTGCGAAGCTCCGTTTTGCCTTTGCTTATAACAATAATTTGCTTAAATAATTTTTTGCTTACATGGTTGTTTCACCAACAGTTGAATTTGCTGCTCCAGTAGTTGCAACCGAAAGAGTTATTAGAACTTAGCTGCTGTTGCATCTTGCAAAAGATTTGGTGGAAAAATTTTGCGTCATTTGTTGAGTGCTTAAATTTAAAACTTAAACACCTATGTTTTGGCTGCTTTTGTAATCTCTTTTAAAAACTAAGTGTGGTTTGATTACTTAATTGTGAAGAAAAACCAGTTTTCCCGTTGAATAGCTTCTAGAAAGTATTTCTTGATTTGGGTTGTAGGTATTTGATAAGTCAAGTTTCAAAATGTTAAATTTTTAGAAATTCAAATTTTTTTAAAGTTTTTTTTTCCAGTTTCCCTATCTCGTTGCAAAGTTTCCTTAAAAGATATAAATCTGAAACTCAATCGGAAAAACAATTTCTTTTCTGCCAGACTCAATTCAGATCAAAGAATTTTTTCTAAAAAAAAAACGAAATAAGAAAATCATCAAAAGACTTATACTTTTCAAAAAAATCAGAAACGGCAATGAACCAGTGCATAGTTGACAAAACCATTAATCCAGTTCCAATTATTTTAGGGTTTTAATGGGTTTCAAAAGAAGAAGGCACCTTTAATTTTTCTGAAAACATTGAAGGTTTGAGTCTAAACACTCAATCCAGATAGATAATGGAATTATTTGTAGGAAAAAATTAAATATGTTAAATTGTACTTTGTGCTCACGTCTGATGTGCCTAACCTTGCATACGTGGCTCTACATCTATGCCTGTATCAAAAGTTTTTCTATGAAAAAATTTCATTTAATTTTTTTTCAAGTCATATAGAGTAGGTAGCAATGTTTCCCTTTTGTGTTATCTTTGTTTAGAATATAAGGATATACTAGCGTGCCTTGAGTGGTATAAAACATGATTTTATTCTTCTTAAAAATTTTGGTCAAATAATTATGCCTTAACTGATCTGCTACCCATTTTACTAAATGGCAAATAAAGCAAGCAAGTAGGATTATGACAGGATTAAAATAAAATTTCAGCCTATAAAAGTTAATTTTCCTCCAGTTTTTCAATTTTGATATAGCGCGATTTTCGGGAAAAAAATTGAAAAGTTTTCGATAAATTTGTTAAAATAATTTCCTGATTTGTTTAAAAAAACTTCTCTTATTTTATGAGAAAAAGTTGTTGACAAATTAGTTTTTTGTTGTGTTTCGATTTTTTCTGCTACTTGCACAGCGAACGACTTTAGTTGTTTTTCTTTGAAAACGTATTTTTTTTCGAAAAACGTTTAATAATTGTAAGATGAAATTAAAGAGCTCTCAATTCTGAAACGCAATTTAAATTGCAGCTGATATGTCGTATATTCAAATTTTAATCAAGAGCCTGAAATCGGTTTCGATTGCTTCGAACTGTACAATATTCTTTGCTGTGGTCTCTTGGTAAAAGCACATCTTGTTTTGGCTTTTCTGGCTTTTTAATTTTGTGATGAAGGTTTTATTGTGGCCTCAAAAAATGTGCAAAAACTTTATATTGGGACCATATGTAGACTTTCTCATGGCTGTCCTGCATTTGATCAGTAAATATGGTGGTCTAACTAGCAGCTTTTAAAAATACATATATGCTGGGTTATTTTGCTATCTGAATCTATCTACGGTTTTGCAAGCAGAAAATTTGACAAAAAAAATCATTTTAATTGTCACTTAGCTTCTTTCAATTCATTTTTTGACTGTGCTCGAGCTATGTTCAGACTGCTTGACCTATGTTCGACCGTGCTCGAGCATTTTTCATCTGTGCTCGACCTATGATATGTTTCACCTGTGTTCGACCTATTTTTTGACTTTCTAGACCAAAATTGGGTGTTTCGAATTTGTTCTCGACGTAAAATTGATTCTCGACCGCGGGTTTCCATGCACAAAACTGAACCTGCTCGACTTGCACAAAGTCGAGCACCTCGGCCCGGGTATCACTGCATGTCGTATCATTCTATTTATCATCGTATGCAGCTAGCATGTCGTTTCACCGTTCGATTTTATGACGTGACATTTTATCTCCTACTTGAACAAATTACGTTCAACTATTACAATCAGTCATCTTCAGGTCAACAAACAAAGCACATAAACAAAAAGTATATGAACCTGGCCATTTTTGGTCATGGTTAGTCAGTCATAGTATAGAAGTCATTTTCGAGTCACATACTGTAAATGTTGACTTCTGTGTTGACTTGAGGCGTGATTATTCGATTCCCTCTGCTTGTTAACTATAAAATAAAGCAGACAAAAGATCTGTTGGTGGTTGGTGTACCAAATGGTGTTGCATAATGGAGGGAATTCCAACTACACAATATTGCATGAGCTATTTTAAAGTTGTCCTTAAATGTATATGGAATTTGAACAAGATTTACGCTGAAGTTCAACTTTTGCCTAAATATTTAGTTATCAATGTTATACTGAACGTTTGAGTTAAATATACGTTTGTTATCCCTGGTTATTTGATTGAACTTCAATCTGTGAAGTTGATTGCGAAACACACTTTGACCTGGTGTGTAGTAAAAGAACTATCATTTCTTATCATGAACAGCCAAGCTATCCAGCTGTATGCACTTTTTTGTGCTATTTTCTTTGTCACTGAGATTTTGTGCGAGGCCAAAGTATTGACTTTTTTGGACTTAACTGAACAAAATTTGCTGGAAGTTGTCAGCAAATGCATCCCGTGTCTGCTGCTGTTCATCTGGTTTCGGAAAAATGGGAAACGTTTAGAAAAACTGGGAGATGACGAAACTGTTCAGAGAAATAAATGCATCACAATGGGTTTCCTATTCTCAGGTATGCTGCAAGTCCCAATTACAAAGGGTTTCGTGGTTGACCAATCGAGTTTTTGAAGGAAATAACGAAATCACGATTTAAGTTTAAAAACAAATGCTTTTAGAATGATTTTTCACGGTACTAAATTTCATTGAATTGTAACAAAATGTGACTAACTTAGACCCCCGTTTTCCTCCATCGTACTTAAGAACGATAAATATAGAATCGACAAATACGCACTAATTTGTTTTATTGCTGGGGGTAGGGGTGCGTGGGGCTGATTGACTCTTCTTCTTGTTTTTGACTCTTCTTCTTTGACTCTTCATCTAACGTTCCGTTCCACCTTCGACATCGATTTCATTTTACATGTACATGAAATTTGGCACACACGATTTGCTTCATTTTACGCTCATTTAGTCTTGATAAATGACATACTGTAAAAAACGAGAAATTTAGCTGATAAAACAGAACAATGGTCCACCAGCCGAAGTCGAAATGTTACTCCTCGAAATCTAAACCTGTTGTAAAACAAGTTGTAGCAACCGCAAAATAGCTGTTTTTGCCGATTATTTCCCATTATAACCCCCAGTCTAGTAGCAAAAAAAAGCCCCATATTTTGTACATATTTAATTGACTTCAAAACAATCGATGTGCTTTCATTCAAAAGTTCGTTTAAACACAAAAGAGCATCCATGTTTTGTTATTAATCAACTAAGCGCTGCATAGAATTACCAGTTATATATAAATAATCAATATGCTAATAATATGTTAGTGTATGTTGCTGTGCACAGTGGTGGGGGCGGTTTTTCGAAAAAATTTTAAAAAATTTGCGGACTTTTTTTTTAGGTCGACCAATTTGGGCTCTTTTTCCTTTTCCCCCACCTGCAAATTTTTATATTTTAAATTACTGTTCACCTTGTTGAATTGTCATGAAAATTGACATGCAGACTAATTAGGAAAAAGGGCCCCAATTTGATTTTCCGAGCTCTCCAAAATTACTAAAAGGATTCTATTTTGTGAAAAAATTTTCTGCGCCGAAGGCAAATTTTTCAAAAAACAGGCCAAAAAACATCGTTTTTGGGCACTTTTTGGTGGAAAATTTTGACAGGAAAATGCGTTTTTTTTGGCGCGCGCTCTCCCTCAAAGTTAGTTATCTTGGCGCCAAAAACGCTTTTTGAAAAACTTTGAGGTTGGTCTGCCAAAAATGGATGTCGTAAAATTATATCAAAAGAGGGACCCTTTGGTAAAATTTGGCACCCGGAATTGAGAAGAGGCGGTCGCTTTTTATTTTTCCGAATTTGGCTCTTTTTCTTTTTCCCAGGAAAAAGAGCCCGACTTTCGATACGAAAGTGACGGAATATTTGTGATCGGGGTAGGTTTTTTTTTCTTCAGACAAATTTCGACTTTTTAACTAGCCATTTTTGACGGAATTTTTTACGTCACTCACAAGGTATTGTTGTCTTGAGCTCAAATTTGAAAAGATATCTCACCTGTGATCATTTTTTGTAAAGTTGTGGGGGTTTAAAGATTGCCATTTTGGCCAATTTGGGACAATTAATGCGCGATATTTCGCGCTATTAACGCGTAAGCGGAGAGTTAATCCGTCTTAGAAATCGTTTCAAATTGGTTAAAAGAAGCTTATTTGCCATAATTGGTTTGTTACAAGGAGCGAAATCTATCCTTTTGTACTTTATATGGTGTGTGGGGGATGATTTTGGCTCTTTTCCAGTTACCCCCCTTTCAAATTCAACTTTGAAAAGCTTATTTAACGTTGTCATAATGAAATGAAATTTGGCGTGGTGAACAAATCGACAACTGTGAACAGATTTGTTCTTCATACTTTACAGCGTAACATCACGCATTTAGCCGTAATAACACGTAAAACAAACATAAAACTCGGTATTTTGAAAGGTGGGGGGAAACTGGAAAAGAGCCATGATTTTCAATAAAATTTTCAAATTTTCCTTTTTTTATTACATTTAATTTTTTAATGTTATTACTGCTCCATAAACCCTAAAAGGCAGTCGGAACATTCAGGACTTTATCACAATCGGACAAAGTGAAACAGTAACTTCAAATATAAAAATTTGCAGGTGGGGGGAAAAGGAAAAAGAGCCCAAATTTCCCTTTTTCTCTTACCCTCCAACCCAGATTTCATAAGGGTGATATTACGATGCGCAGTATGAAGAACAAATCTCTTCACAGTAGATAACTTTATTTTTTTCTGAAATAGGTTTCATGAAAACGGTTTGAAAATGACTTTCCATGTTAATAATTGCAATAAAACTTGAACATATGGCAAGTTCTTACAACTTTGCATGTAAATTGCGGCATGCGCATTTTGAACAACTTTTGATTGTAATTTTAACCAAAGGGCGGTAAATCTATAAAGAGCTGAAATTCCATTTAAGTAAAATGACCATTGATGTTCTAAACTGAAATAAAAACAAGTGAACGAAGTTTCACAAACTTTTTACGCGTAAATTACTGAACGATCAAATTTAAGTCAATTTTACCATTTAACAATTCTACGATGTGGGGGACTGAAAAAGAGCCGCTTGTTCACCATGCCAAGTTTCATCGCATTATAAAAATATTTAAATAGTTTTTTTTGTTCCGACTTTCGATACGAAAGTGACGGAATATTTGTTCTCGGGGTGGGTTTTTTTTTCTTCAGACAAATTTCGACTTCTTAACTAGCCATTTTTGACAGAATTTTGTTTATATCATTCGAAAACTATTGTTGTCCTGAGCTCAAATTTGAAAAGATATTTCACCTGTGATCATTTTTCGTAAGGTTATGGGGGTTTAATTGTTGCCATTTTGGCCAATTTGGGACAATTAACTCGCGATATATTTCGCGCTATTAACGCGTAAGCGGAGAGTTAATCCGTCTTAAAATCGTTCCAAATTGGTTGAAAGAAGCGTATTTGCCATAATTGATTTGTTACAAGAAGCGAAATCTATCCATTTGTACTTTATATGGCTTGTGGGGGGATGAGCTTCATAAAAAATTTCAAATTTTTGAAAAAAAAAATTTTTTCATTTGTTTTTTCTTACATTTAATTTTAAATGTTATTACGGCTCCATAAGCCTTAAAGAGCAGTCAAAATATTCAATGCTTCAAATGCTTTGCCCTGATACGAGCAGTCTTGTTTTAATAAAGGCTCTTTTTCCTCCCACCTCTACACTTGGAAACTTCTGATATCGGCTCTTTTTTCTTCCCCCCCCCCACCTGCAATTTTTATAATAAAAATTATGTTCGCATTGTCCGATTGTCGTGAAAATTGACATGCGAATAAATTAGGCCATGGCAAACATATTTGGTCTTCATAATTAACCTTGTAAAATCACTCGTTAGACCATAAAATTGATGCTCATTTGAGGTGGGAGGGGGAATGAAAAAAGAGCCCAGATATCAAATGATTGTTCTAGTTGTCCGAGTATTATGAAAAGTGACCCTAATTAGGCATAAAATTGGTGCTTGTGCAAGGTAGGAGGAAAAGAAAAAGCCAAAGTTTGTTTTCAAATGTTGAGGAATGGAGTTAAAGTGGAAAAGAACCCCAGTTTCTACTAAACGAGCCAAGCAATCCGCTAGTATGATCTGCGGCGCTTGATTTTTGCTTGCCAAAGCTACGTGTATTTAATATTTGTAATCAAGCTACTAATACTGCCTATGTTTTATATAAATTTAGGAGGAAGTTCTTGCTTTGCTCCAAAAGTAAATCACATAATTATAGAAGTTGATTTAAATTTTATTGAAAACTTGGCTCGGGGAGCGGTGGTGAAGTGGTTAAGTCCCCCTTTCAATCAAAAGATCGGATGTTCAAGGCCCACCATGATCGGTGCTCGTTGCTTGAGGGTGAGGCAACAATACCCAGCCCAGAAAAATAACCAAAAAAATTGCATGCAATTCTTAGGCAGGGGCACAACAGCGGTTCATTGTGATGAGCTGCACAGCTTGCATGATGGTCCTTTTCTTCGCGGATGAATGGCCTTAAAAAGATTATTTCTACCTTTCCCTCGACAATTGAATTTCAAATTTTAAAATTTATTTCAGGCTGTCACATTGTAATGGAAAAAACGGAAAGGTGAATGGAAAAACATAAAAAATCTAATCATTTTTTTTGTTTCGCACTTCATAAAGAGATACTTGAGCAAAATTTTGTGTAGATTTACAGTTTGTCGAGTAAAAACTTTTATTCCGACCATTGAAAATGGGGATAAACATTGTATTCACGTGTGTTTTAATTTTTTCTTTTTTGGTTAGATTAGGACTGAAACAAATTTTCGAAAAAAGAATTATTAGATTATTGCTCAAAAAAATTTACAAAATTTAGATTCTTTGGAACAATTTTTTCCATTCTGTTTTTCTTAGTTTATCATTCTTTGAAACATTTCTTTAAAAGTTTAGAAAGAAAACCTAAGCTACTAACTTCTTAGAAATTCTTGCTTTGATCCAAAGTTTAATCAGATAATTAAAACTTGATTGACATTTTTTTGAACGACTGGCTTTTTTCCTATCCCCGACATTCGAATTTCAGCTTTTAAAAATTTATTTAAGGCTATCATAAAGTAATGGAAAAGAACAGAATGGAAGGTACGCAGAAACGAGCGGGAAAATGATCAATTTTTTTTGTTTTGCTGTTTTGCACTTCACAAAGGGAGACTTGAGCAGAAATTTGTATAGACTCTCAAATTGTCAATTAAAATTTTTTGTTTTGACCCTTGAAATTGTGTTATTTTTTTTTCTAAATCTGAATTTGTTTTTGTCTTTTTTCTTGTTTTCTACGCAAAATCAAGTTTTCCATGCAAAATCATGTAAATCATGTAATAATTAATTATCGGACTGGGTCAACTGGTATATCTTTTTTTTCAGCCCTTTCAGTCGTGCTTCCAACGACAATAACCTTTTCAAAAACTGGTTCCGCTGTCAAAAAAAATGGTTTCAGTAACGTTCGTTAGATAAAGATTAGGCTAAAAACTTTACTAACGAAAAATTTTGGAAGATTTTTTTGTGTTTCCTTGACAATAAAATTTTTGTTAAAAATTGTCTGCAAAAAATTAGATAAATTTTCAAAAAGTTGTTTTTGAATTTTTTCTATTTTTGTTGTTTGTTACTCATATGGTTTTCGTAGACAATTGTTGTCGAATATGCCCACATTACTAATTTTTAGGCGTATTTGTAGCTCTCTAATGACACCACGTATAAGAAACAGCAATAATTTGAAGAAAAATGTTTTTTTTTTAAGTAATTAATCAATGACGGAATATTCTGTGCTACTTGCACAGCGACCGACTGTTAATTTTTGGGACTGCAGTTCTCTATAAATTTTGCTGCTTGCCAAAAATGTTTGATAATCGATACTTTATCATCATATATAGGTTTTGAAACATGAAGTGCCAATTTTTAATATAAATGTAATTAAGTTAAACTTTTTCTACATCTTTTTATTTGTAAAGAACTCACAAAGGTCGATTGCTATTTTGATTGCTTCGCTGCCATATTTTAGAGTTTTTGCCGTTTGAAGTTTTCATTAGAGCTGTTTTTTAAGTTTTCATTTACTCCTGCAATTTGTAATTCTACTAGACTTGACTTCGTACATTTAAAAAAAAAAATTTTTTATCTTCTGCTTAAGATTTAAATTACTAAGCTTAATTTGGGTTATTCGAGGGAAAAATAATTCCTTCGCATTGCACAAAAAGTTTAAAAAATCTCAGATTAGAATAAAAGTTTTTATGACTGTTTTTTACTCAAAAAATGTTTTTTGACGTGTTTTTGCAAATAGAATATGATTCCAGACAAAAAGATTTTTTTAGTTGTGGTAACTTTGAATAATTTTCCCTTTTTCTTTGGACTTGGTGGCTTTTCTTTTTTTCTTATCTGCTAGCTAGCAATGCTATTTTTGTGGCATCGCAATTGATTCAAAGCTCCGCTTCGCCTCTGTCTTAATACATATGAACTTTTGGTAGTTAGTTACTTGCTCACACTGCCGTGTTTTGTTATAGTTTAGATCATCAAAAGTCATTTTAAATATTTTTTCTTAAACTAAATTTTAAATCTTCCGATTATCTAAAATGCATTAAAACTCTGGCCTCATTAAAACATTATTTAACAAAATTTTTGAAGATTTGTTCATTTTTGTAGTTGAATGGGTTTAAAGATGGCCTATTTTGGATAATTAGGCTACTTCAACCATGCTATATTTGCCTTAACGCGTAGCACGGGCGGGTTATTAATCAGGCTTAGAAATCAATGACGATAAATGATAGAAAGCTAACTGGTTTCGTTGCTGGTGAAAAACAATATCTTTTCATAATTGAACTAGTGAGTGAAGGAAAATTACAACCAAAAAATGAGCTTTCAAAAAGTAAAATTCAAAGTTTTTGAAATTAAATCAAAAACGGTTTCCGATAAATTAAATAATACGGAAGTCGGAACATTCAAAGATTACCCTCATAGATGCAAAGCCTTGCTTGATCTACTATTGCTTGAAGATGCCAATGTTCATTTAATTATAAGTACGCATTTGTACACTCTACTCTTGTTCACGCGTTTACGGGAGAGAGCCGAATAGTAATTGGCCATTTAATTGCCAAAAAATTAAAAATTTGTTCAATCTTGGCTCGACTAAATGCGGTTTATGAGCTCCACATGAAACACGCCAAATGCTCTGTGCCGCAGTCAAAATTTTACAAAATTGAGAAATTGATCCAATGCAGTTTTGGAAAATTTTGACAAAACAGTGGCTTCCGTACGCCTAAATCAGCTTTTGATTTGCATGATGGATTGTCCCATTGCAGCCAAAATGCTAGAAGAGCAGAAAATTGCTAGGTAAGTAGTCCGAAATATAACGAAAAAGTTCATCATTGCAAACAGTAGTTTCAGAAAAACAATCGAGTGTTCGAAAAATAGTTTATAACTTTTTCCTCAAACTTTAGACAATAGGTTTTATCGAAAACGTTTACTGAGCTCAATGTATCCTTATACTTCAATTCAAACTGATTAAGAGTCGACGAACATAGATGATTTTTTAAATTTTTTTTTCAGTTAAAATCTTAAACTATATTTAGGCTCAAATTTAATCTTTCGCGGTTCAACTTTTGATTTCTTTTTAAATTCAGTTCCTTGTTTTTGTTAATATTGTTATTAGAAAGGTAAACTCCACTATCAAACAGCAAAAATGTGATGGTCATTGTTTTCGAAATGCGAATTTAATTTTCAGATATCAAGCGAAACAATTTTAACTTTTTTTATTGATCCAGTTTCTGTAAAAGGGGTTAAATTTATCAAAAAAGGCTAATCAAAAGTCATTCTAACAATTCAAAGAGCTTCAGGGGCATATAGTTTTTCTATAAAATTTGAAATTTGAAGGTTTTTCGAAAAAACAAATCAGTTATTTTTTGTTTACTCATGTTCATTGACTTTTTTCCAACTACCTGTTGGCTACGTTTGCACAGGAAATCGCTTATTTTGATAATTGAATTTTCTTTGCAATAAACCACATGTAGCACAAATTTTCCATAATTTTTTGAAGTCGGAACAAAATTTTTTTCCCGAGCTATGATAATAGAAAGATCTTTGTATTCGGGTGTTTTTTGTTTTTTTTTGCAAAATCAGGTACCACAAAAAATCATCATAATAGTTATCATAATATATCATAATAAAACCCTTTCAGTCGTGATTCGAATCTAAATAAAAAGTTTTTTAACAAAGGCCCAATGTCAAGAAAAATCAGTTCGAGTAACGTTCGTTATACAAAAAGTAGGCTAAAAACTTAATTTCACTAAAAAGAAGCTTCTTGGAAGCTTCCTTTAGCGCTTTTGTGGCAAAAAAAATTATTAAAAACATTTTAGAATTTTAATGGAAAAAATATAAAAGTTTTAACATTTTTATTTAATTCATTGTTTGTCGTTCTTTTTTTGTCAGCAAATGTTGTCCATCTTGTCTTTTTTTCAATTTTTTAATGCGTTGACAAAAATACGCGTTTTTATAGTTCTCTCTTCACACCACACACTAAAACGACACTAAACTGAAGAAAAAACCTTTTATGTAATTTTTTGAACATTGTCGAAACAATCCTTGCTATCCTTGTTTGGCGTTGGAAAAAGTTTTTGCTGCGAGCGGATTGAATTTTTCTCCACCAGAGAAAAAGTTTGAGTTCTTTTCAGTTTGCGTATCTCTCTATTTGATTAAAAAAGTAGTTTTTTGTTAGTCAAACAACTAAGAACTTCAATTCGGTTGCTCTCGACAAATGGAAAAAATCATAGTTTACTGTTTTTGCATTGATGCCGAATTTTTCGTAGATAGTTGCTTTAGCTTTGAAGACATAAATTGGCTGCGAAGATAAAATTTTTGATGCAATCTATTTTTCCATGTGAAGACCCCAAAACTTAAAATCAGTTTTTTTTCACATCCGCTATGTTCGATGAAGTTAAACAAAAACTCAGAACAATTAAGCTGCAAACTTGATTCAAAATCTGTTCCATATCAGAGAGCAGGAAGGGATAAAAACTTGAAAAAATACATCTACAATAAAACCTGCAACTTTTAAATCTCTTTCCTTTTTTGTTTTTGTTTTATGTTCGAAGAATCGCTGGGTCCAAGGGTTTAAAAATTGACTCAAATAAAAAAAAATCGTACAACCATGCAAACATGCACGGTCATTCATTATAACCCCCAAGCTTGGGCTCTTTTTCTGAGGGTTACCAAACATAATCCGGGATAGTTTTCGTTTCAGCAATTGGAGACGCTGCTATGGTGTACTGCGACGAAGGAGGACTCCCCCTCGGCATGTTGACCTTCGGCATTGCCCACTTGTTCTACATCAAAGCATTTGGATTTGCACATACCAATAGGCGAACTGGGATGCTTCTTTACTCCACTTCAATATTCATGGCCTTGTCAATGTTCGCTTTTGAGTTCTTCTATGTCGGCAAAATTCAAGGCGTCAAACTTATAATTTCAATTGTGGGCGTCAATTTATACAGCGCTCTCCTGTATACTACACTCTGGAGGTCGCTTGACATTCAAGACTCTTCAAGAAACTCTAAGCAGTTGATGTGTCCTTTTAACGTCAGAGCATCCGGACTGCTGGCATTTGTGGTTTCAGACAATATAATAGCACTAAATCTGTTCGCATACACAATTCCCCTGGCTTGGGTGCCTATCATGGTTTTATACTACGCTGCTCAAGGTGCTATTGCTTGGGCGGAAGGTCAGACTTTGATGGTCGATTTGGACACCAAGTCACATTAGACAGCCAATTAACAATTCTTTTAGTATGCATTATGTAGTTGTGTATAAGTGGAACAATTGAACACTTAGATAAATTTCACTGGTAATTTAATCTCAATAATGAACTTTTGATTCATAAATTTTTGGTTGTGAATACGTATTTTTGTCCGAATCTTTGTTTTTTAATTCCAACAACACTAGAAAATGTCAACTGAAATTATCTACCTCGAAACCTCGCAGCAAACGGCAATGATCCGATGCAGATTTCGCACAAAGTTTCAAAGCTAAAAAAAGGAAAAAAAAACAATCAAACATTTTAAAGCTAAAGGAAAGAATTCAAACAAACGAAAGGGGCAATTCAAACAAAAATTACCGGTTTTAGAGAAAAGCTAGTTTCGACAAACTGAAACAGACGAAAATCACGTCAAATATAATATCACTCGAGGCACAACCCTGCTTGAAGAAAAAATTAATGTCTTTTTTCGGAGATCTTTATTTTCTGTTAAAAATTGAGGAAAAAGCCATTTGCGTTTCCATTTGCTTTAGAACAAAAAAATAATTCAAGAAATTTTGATGACATGTTACAATAGCTGATAATTTTGATTATAGTGCATGTATTAAGTATGAAAATTAATACATGCATAATATAGTCATTTCGCTTTCACTCAAATGTACATGCTACTAAAATAGTTTTTGTTAATAAATCACTCTGTCAGAGGAGATGTTTTTCAAAATTCAAGTTTTTCACTTCTTTCGCCAAAAAATTTGGCTTTCAAATAAATTATAATTAGGCTTCGAAGTACAACAAGCAACCATTCAGCTATTGTAATATATCACCGAACATTGATTATTTAGAGATAACCAATTATCAGAACGAAAAACGTTACTTCTAGATGAATAATTTCGGCCAAATTGCAGCAATGAAATTGCAACAGGGATATCCTGTTCACTGTGCAAGTAGCACAGAAAATTCAGACAACAACAATGAACTGAAAGTGTGTTTTGGGTTGTCCGTGGTGTATAAAAACGAATGTCCCACGTTTCGCCCCACACATATTTCACCCCACACATATTTCGCCCCTCTTAAATCTAGTGGCACATTTCGCCCCTCACACATTTCGCCCCTTATAATTTCACACATTTCGTCCTCGCACGTTTTGCCCCTAACTTATTACACAGTTAATTAACGCCGCTTTCTTAATGTACATTTTATGAGCGAAATGTGCCAGTAATTTATGAGGGGCGAAGTGCGCCACTAGATTTGAGAGGGGCGAAACGTGTGAGGGGCGAAATGTGTGAATACCTATAGAAACACAAAAAAATTGAAAAGAATGGAAATCGAAAAAATATTGAAAAATTGTTTCAGTTTTTCTAGCAGAAAACTCTTTTGATGTTAGAAAGATTGGCATAAGGCGCTAATTTGTTTAAAAAACACTTAAGTTTAGTAAAACGCGGCCTACAAAAATGAATCTTCTTATTATAAACCTGTTAGCGTGCTTTATTTGCGCAATTTGAACAAACCGGAGACAAATTCCTCCTGACTTTCAGTGGTCGGAACAAAAAATTCGAATGAATCATGAAACCAAAAAATAACTAAGCCAATAGATTTGTGCTTGATCAACTGTTATAAATTCCTTTTTTTCGCGTACACCTTGTTGAAATGAAGGTTTCCAAAACCAAGCAAAAAGATCACATAAAGCGGGCAAAACTCACAGAGAGCCGCACCACCATTACGAAGCTAAATTGTGCACTTTATAGGCGCTCAATTTAGTGTCAGTAGGTCACTGGAATCCAGAGAAAAACCTGTAAAAAACTAGGTGCATTCCACTTTCGAAATTTTCGTGGATTTAGCGAACTAAAACTTGTAACGTATATTTTGTGGACACATTAGCTTTTTCGCGGATTCTGCAACAAACAATCATAGCGAGTTGTTCCGAACTCCGTAGTTGCAAGAAAATTCCGCATATTTCTGATAGCAATTTGCTGACTCAATTTGCGGAATGCACTTACTTTTTACAAAGTACACAGTTTGGCCTCGTAATAACATAAGATATACAAGACACAAAGGTTTGCAAGCCAGTTGTCCGTTATGAGACAAAAGCGTTCAAGTCAAAATAATTTCTTCAAAAAAATTTAGATATACGATTATTTCATTATGTTTGCTTCATTAAACTTGAATGCTGTTCATCTAAGGACACACACGTCAAGAAAGACATTAACCACCGTTAAATTAGCATTGAAACAAGATGTTAGCAAGTGATAAACAATTAACACCTACAAAAGTTTGGAAGACGCTGGTCACGTAAATTTTTGAGCGAGATCTTTTTTTAGGTGTCTGGAAAAAGAGCCTAATTGCTTCTGCTTTCCAGATTGTTTTATTTAAAAAAATCCACAGGGGTCGTTCCAGGGTTTCTGACAGTCTCTAAATTTGTTTAAAATTGTTCACAAAAACAAAAAAAAAACATTTTGAGTGTTGTTCCTGTACCACTGCAAATCAAAATTTTGTGGATAACGAGGATGTAACAACGAGCAATCTCATTATTAAAAAACATTTAATTTCATCTTTTTTACACAACCTAAGAAAATTTGACCCTGGGCAATTTGTACTATGAGAAAAACGTACCAAATATTTTTGACACATAATTATTGCTATAATATTATGATCGTTCAAAATCTTTTGAAGACCAACTAAAACAAACTAACTAATATATGTTGGGTTCCAACTTTCGGCTACAAATGCGCATATCACCGGTGCGTTTTCAATTCCTTAATTTTTCTATGACATTGCTAATTAAGCGCGCATATGTCTCCTATATACACACATATATCAGTTTTTGGGTTTTGCTATTCTTTTTACATACCAAAATCATAGTTCTAAAATCATTCATCACGTAGTAAGTTCCTTTATGAGACATCGAATGCTAAAAGAACAAGATTGTCGGTTCGGATTCAAACTATTTTTCATCAAAAAATCCAAATAAATTAATAATTTTAGACGGTTAAGCCAAGCTGTACATCAAAAGCAAAAGCGGCGTTTTTAACAAAGTAATTATTCCAGTTCGAGAAATAAAAACTTTCAATTTAACATTTCATCAGGTTAGTTTTTTCTATTGATGTCTGTTCTGAGTCAACGAATCAACTATTTTAAAAGCTATTTAAGTTTTTCACACTTCCAAAATAAGAATAACGGCGTTTCTGTCAAAATAGTAGTTTCAGACTGAAAAACAAAACTTATGTGAAAATTATTTAATCAAACATCTTTGACAACTAACAAAAAAATCATATTTCTTGAATTATTTATCACATAATAAGCTCACTTATAAGAGGTCGAAAGCTAAAAAACAAAGGTAGTTTGATCGGAGTCAAATTAATTGTCATTGAAAATTTCGAATAACTTTGGATTTTATTTTTTGTTTTGAGAAGTAAATTCACTTGTGAGATGTCGAAAGCTAAAAGGAGAAAGTAGTCCGTCCGGAGTCAAATTATTTTCCATCAAAAACTCCGAATAACTTTGGACTTTATATTGAAATACTCTGAGTACCAGAGTGTTAAACTAACCTGTACATCAATAGCAGCGTTTCTGTTATTGTGATTGGTTCAGTTTGAGCAGCAAAAACTTCCATTTTAGCACTTTAGTTTATTCTTATAATTTCGGTTCTGAGTCAACGAATCAACTATTTTAAAAGCTACTCAAGTTTTCACCCTTCCAAAATAAGAATAACGGCGTTTCTGTCAAAATAGTAGTTTCAGACTGAAAAACAAAATTTATGTGAAAATTATTTAATCAAACATCTTTGACAACTAACAAAAAAATCATATTTCTTGAATTATTTATCACATAAAAAGCTCACTTATGAGAGGTCGAAAGCTAAAAAAACAAAGGTAGTTTGATCGGAGTCAAATTAATTGTCATTGAAAATTTCGAATAACTTTGGATTATATTTTTTGTTTTGAGAAGTAAATTCACTTGTGAGATGTCGAAAGCTAAAAGGAGAAAGTAGTCCGTCCGGAGTCAAATTATTGTCCATCAAAAACTCCGAATAATTTTGGATTTTATATTAAAATACTCTGAGTACCAGAGTGTTAAACTAACCTGTACATCAATAGCAGCGTTTCTGTTAATGTGATTGGTTCAGTTTGAGCAGCAAAAACTTCAATTTTAGCACTTAAGTTTATTCTAATAATTTCGGTTCTGAGTCAACGAATCAACTATTTTAAAAGCTACTTAAGTTTTCACCCTTCCAAAATAAGAATAACGGCGTTTCTGTCAAAATAGTAGTTTCAGACTGAAAAACAACTTATGTGAAAATTATTTAATCAAACATCTTTGACAACTAACAAAAAAATCATATTTCTTGAATTATTTATCACATAATAAGCTCACTTATGAGAGCTCGAAAGCTAAAAAAACAAAGGTAGTTTGATCGGAGTCAAATTAATTGTCATTGAAAATTTCGAATAACTTTGGATTTTATTTGTTGTTTTGAGAAGTAAATTCACTTGTGAGATGTCGAAAGCTAAAAGGAGAAAGTAGTCCGTCCGGAGTCAAATTATTTTCCATCAAAAACTCCGAATAACTTTGGATTTTATATTAAAATACTCTGAGTACCAGAGTGTTAAACTAACCTGTACATCAATAGCAGCGTTTCTGTTAATGTGATTGGTTCAGTTTGAGCAGCAAAAACTTCTATTTTAGCACTTTAGTTTATTCTAATAATTTCGGTTCTGAGTCAACGAATCAACTATTTTAAAAGCTACTTAAGTTTTCACCCTTCCAAAATAAGAATAACGGCGTTTCTGTCAAAATAGTAGTTTCAGACTAAAAAACAAAACTTATGTGAAAATTATTTAATCAAACATCTTTGACAACTAACAAAAAATCATATTTCTTGAATTATTTATCACATAATAAGCTCACTTATGAGAGGTCGAAAGCTAAAAAAAAGCAAAGGTAGTTTGATCGGAGTCAAATTAATTGTCATTGAAAATTTCGAATAACTTTGGATTTTATTTTTTGTTTTGAGAAGTAAATTTACTTGTGAGATGTCGAAAGCTAAAAGGAGAAAGTAGTCCGTCCGGAGTCAAATTATTTTCCATCAAAAACTCCGAATAATTTTG